TGATATTGGCTGTTGGTTTTTCATAGATGGCTTCTATCAGTTTGAGGTAGAGACCATCTATTCCAATTTTTTGTAGGGTTTTTATCATAAAAGCATTGGGGTATTTAACTATATGAAATTTTCAGATAAAAGCCCAGCTCCTTGGGAGGCTAAGTCAGAAAGATTGCAAGTTTGAGGCAAGCTTAGGCAACTTAGGAGACCCTGTCTCAAAATAAATAAAAGAAAGATTTAGGACTATAGTTCAGTGGTAGAGCTCCCCTGGACTTGAACCCCAGTAGTAGAGAAAAAAGATTTTTAAAAGTTTTTTTTCAATCTGCATAGTCCAGGGTTCTGCTCAATTCCCCATTATATTATTTGTATGTGCATCCATCAATGTCCTGGCAGGAAGCGTAACACTTAAAGGGGTAACTAAAGAGAGTTTAAGGGAAAGGCTATCTTCAAAGACATGGGAGTAGTAATAGGACCCAAGATGAAATGGTGGTCGCCTGAGGACCACATCAGCAGACGCTGCTACAACCCTGAGGCCAGCACGGGTAGGTGGAGGAAGTGGTTTTCTGGGAGGCTCGTGGAGCTGTGGCCCTGGCTCCAGAACCACTCACTCAACAGGAGCCCTAGCCACACATGAAGTGTCACAGCCACTGTCAACCACAGTGTGGCAGGGAGGAAAGGACTGGGTAGGACGGGATGCCAACTTCTCCCTCCTCCAGCTCTCTTGTCTCCCAACCGCACTTGCTATTACAGATAGCAATGAGATATTCCATTGCTATTGGAGTTAGGCCTCATGGTCAGTGGCGAATGACCAGCACAATGACCGTCACGATGCATAAACGTGACCCAAGCCATCGACACACAGCAGCACCCCACCCTTCTGGCTGATTACTCATGCTTACCGACATCAGTATGATGCACTAACCTGGGTGAGTTCAGCTTTTCAAATGAAAATTTCAAACACATATCTCTGATACCTCTTTTTGGGCTCATGATGTTGGCTGCACTTGTCCCTTGCAATGTGTTAGAAACATTTTAGAAAATCACGCAAATGGTAACATATTAGAAGCAGAATACACCTCCTCTGATCTCCTTGACTTCACTATGAGGCTCAGTCAGTTGGGTTTGTAGCTCTGAACCCATGCTCTGTCACTTTGAGATGTTAACTAGTAGGAGTGGTGGAATCACTGATGGATGAGTAAGTGTTGTTTCAGGAAACTCTCTAAATTCTCTGTCCTCAAATAGTTCTCTCGTCTATTTTTTGCCATCTCCTCCTGCCTGATGTGACATCCCCACCACCAGATACACTCTGCTGAACCAGGAAAATGTGGAGATTTCTTTCTGGAAGGAAAGGAAGCCCATGATGTGAACTAGAAGGACAGCAGACCCATGAACCTTCTCCCAGGAGCCAAGACTTTTGTTTCTTTTCGTATTAACTCGGTTTTCTTTTGGCATGCACAACGAAACAAATGCTGAGGAATCTTGGACAGACAATTTGTAATGTTTGGGATGGAAGAAATAAGCATATGATGAGCCTAAAGTGAGCCGGCAATGTGACTGGCCTAGGGAATTAGAGGAAAGAGGTCTGAGTAGGGATTTTTTTTCAAATGCACTATCAAATTTTCCTTATTTATTCCTCATCATCACCTGATAAGCTAGAAAAAAAACCCCAAATCATCTCTTTTTTTAAAAGGTTAAAGATTTTAATAAAAGCAAAACAAAACGTAGGCCCAGCTAAGCTTAAGTGACTTACCAAGAAAAATGGTTGGGTAGGCTGGGCAAGGAGAAGAAACAGTAGAGCTTCCCATAATCACTGTGTGGCTAGGAGTAGACCATGCTGGTATGTGTGGTTCATTTCCCTTTCCTCCTTGTGGTGTAAAAGAGTCTTTGAGAAATATGCACTGACTAGTTCTAGAAATCCCTTAAATTTTTTTTGCATAAAATATTAGTAACCCATTTTTCCACTTATTTGGCTCAAGTTGGGACCCATCTAATGCTTAGTTTTCTTTCTCTTGCTCACTGTCAGCAAAAGAAATGAGACAGGCAGGAGGAGGACTGGGAGGGTGTGACACTGCGGGAAGATGGAGGCACACAGCGCCATGCTCCCTGATGCCTGCATTGCATTAGTTAGGGTTCTCCAGGGAGACAGAGTCAATAGGACATGTACTGATACAGATGCTCCTTTGCTTACTGTGGAATCAGAGTCCAAAAAGACCTTCATGATGGAAAATACTGTGAGGTTGAAATGCATTTAATAAGCCTAAGCCATGGAACTTGGTAGCTTAGCAACACAGTATACTATAGAGTACCTGTAGCTTCCTTGTGATCATGGCTTAGCTAACTGGATGCCATGGATTCCCTGTCACAGCCCAGCATCCTGGCAGAGGATGGTACTCCATATTGCTAGCTGGGAAAAAGATCAAAACTCAGCACTTAAAGTACAGTTTCCACTGAATGTGTATTGCTTTTGGTGCATCCCATAGTTAGGGACTGCCTATACATTTAAGAAGGAGGTTGGCTGACCTGATTATGGAAGTCAGGAACTCCCAGGATGGGCGAGACAATGGTGTAATTCATTCTGGGTCTGAAGCCCTGAAGACCATTGGAGCTGATGGTGTAACTCGCAGTCCAGGAGCAAAGGCCTGGAAACTGGGGGACAGTGGTGCAAGTGCTGGAGTTCTAAGGCTGAGAACTGGAGCTCCAAGGAGCAAGGTCAGAAGACAGATGGCCTAGCTCAAGAAGAGAGCAAATTTATCCATTTTCCACTCCTTTTTATTTTTGGGTTTGGGCCCTCAGTGGATTGGATGATGCCAGTCACATTGGTAAGGATTCTTTATCCAGTCTACGGATTCAAATGCTAACCTCTTTCAGAAATACCCCCAGGGCCACACCCAGAAATAATGTTTTACCAAATATCTAAGTCTCCTTTGGCTCACTCAAGCTGATGGATAAAATTAACCAGCACACTTCTAGTGGGATAATCAACCATTCTGGTTTCCCTGGGACCAAGCAGGATGTGGAACTTTTACCAGGTAAATTGGCTAACTCTCTCTCTGTCTCTCTGTTTCTTTTTTGTACAAGATATTTTTTTAGTTGTCTATTCAGCTTTATAAAATATCAGTGTTTCTTCATTAAGAACCACATGAATTTTGGCTTGAATTTAAGGGCTATTTGCGTGAAAAACAGCATAATAGACTCATGCTCAGTCAAGTGAAATGCTCATAACACGACAGTGTATTAGGAATAGAATATGTCCTAGGAAATAGCAGGTCCCATGGCATGGAGCTCACACAGGGTTATAACTCATTGAGAGGAATGGTCATGGAATTATAGATGTTGTTTAAATTGTTATTTATTATTTATCTTTCTACTATGCATACCCCTTTTATTCAGGCATTGAATTCACATAAATTAAATCTTTCCACAGACAGATCATCAGACTATATCTGTCAAAGATCTCAGTGAATGTGGAAAGTGTCGTGAAAATGAGAAGCCGTTCAAAACAAGCAGAACAGAATGTAAGTCGGGACACATCTATGTTAGCTTTCCATTACTGTAACAAAATTCCTGAGATAATCAACTTAAAAAGAGGAAAGGTTTAGTTTTGGGGTATTCAGCCCATGGCCAGTTGGCCTGTTGCTTTTGGCTTGTGGTGAGGCAGCAAGTCATGGTAAGAGTGCATTATGGAGGGAGCTGCTCCCTCCCTCATTGCACCCAGGAAAAAGAGAGAAAAGGGCCAGGATCCCAACATCTCCTTCAAGCCCAGGCCCCAGTGAACTCACTTCCTCATGGAGGTCCCATCTCTTAAAGATCCTGCAACCTTGCCATAGCACCATGATCTGGGACCAAGCCTTCAGTGCACAGGGATTTGGGAGATGCCGAGCTCCTCAACTTATAGTCACAGTTTTGGCTGAGGGTCCCAAGGCTGAGCACAAAACAGTACATGCCCAGTTGTCATCAGAGGTCAAAGGACACACTGGGCTGCATTTTCTAGGCCATGTTGCATGGAGGGGAGAGAAGTTGGGATTCCTTTGGGAGGACTTGTGTGTCCAGGGAGCAAGCAGGTCTTCCAGGGGGCAAGGAAGGAGGAGGCCTGTTTGGGTTGTGCGCATTCACACTGTGATCTATGTGGCAGAGGCTCCAGGGAGCCCACCTGGAAACCTGACACATGTCCCCATGAACTGATGATGCCTGTGTATGATGCCCACCCACCCTGTGAGGACAGAAAGGTCACTGGCTGCAAGGCAAGGATGCAGGCAAGGGGGACACTGGAACTCAGTCAAGGAGGAAGAGTAAGCTTGCAGCCAACGGGGAGTCCTTCTGCCAAGAGGGCTGCTTACATGGTGGTTGAACCCCAGCAGAGAGTCTGAGCTGGTTGCCAAATGCCCAGGCAATTAGGTTTGGGGTCATTAGTAACCAGCCAAAGAAAAAGGCCCCTTCATTTAAAAACTGTAAACTTCTGAATAAACTCCAGTGCCACTCTGCTAAAGAAAATGCTAACTCTAATCATCTGCCAAGTTCAGAGCGCCCAGAGTCAGATCCCAAGAGGCATGAGCACCAATAGTGAGGGCCTTTCCTATAATGCCTTCTTCTCCTAGCACAGGCTTGGAAGCAAGGATGCTGGGAGAAGGGAGGCAGAGTCAGGAGGGAGAGCAAAAGCAAGCCTCACATCCCCTCCTGCCTATTCCAGCACATGAACCGTCCAGGTCTAAAGGGTTCAAGCTGGGGGAGAGGAAAATTTGTGTTAAAGGGAAGTTGGATATGTTGATGATTTTTATGCTGCTGGATATTTTAATTGTTCAAATATAACTTCTTGGTACAGAGTAACTGGAATCATCATGAAAAACATGACAAACTTACAATTATGGTTTAAGATCTCATCCAAGCGACAAGAAGAAGCACATTCTTAGATTAGGTTTAAAGGCGAGAGAGAGGTTTAGAGAGAGAGAGAGAGGTTTAGAGAGAGAGAGAGAGAGCGAGAGAGAGAGAGAGCGAGAGAGGCTATTGAGTTCACCCTGCTCAATATCAGCTGCCATTTGCAAAGCGCTCATGAGCTCACTGCTCTGTTAGGTGTCAGAAGTTGTTTCACATTCACAGAAACCCTAGGAGATGGGGAGCATCATTATCTGCATTTCACTGATGAGGAAATTGTAAGCCAGAGAGGGGAAATAGTTGGCCAAAGTCACACAGCCAATATGTGGAGTAGCTGTTGTTTATACCCAGGCATGTAGCTCAGAAGATCATGCTCCTAATCACACTGTGGTTCACTTCTCTGCAAACACAGTTACAAAAGATGCAGAGAGACTTGTAGGAAAGGGGGTTTTGAGGAGGCACGTGGGACCAAGAGTCTGGAAGCAGAGCTGTGTGGGCAGAGGATGCCAAGCATCAGGCTTTGGAGCTCCAGGAGCTGATGGGGGCTCCCTGGGCTGCTGTTGGGTTTCGCCCGAGGACTCTGGGATGAGGGCTGCCATATCTGACCAGCAGAGAGAACACTCTCAGGGCTGGGCCCAGGTAGGGTCTTTCTTCTTGCATCTTATCTAATCCCCCACCTTTTTGCTTCTGCTTTCACACCTGTTATCTGGGAACCTCTCTTTCTTGCATTACAAGGGCTAGTATTAAAAAACATTATTGATGGCTGCTATCAAGAAATCAACCAGTAACAAATGCTGGTGGGGGTGTGGGGAGAAAGGAACCCTTCTCCATTGTTGGTGGGAGTGCAGACTGGTGCAACCACTGTAAAGAACTAGGGCTAGAGGTCCCATTTGACCCAGCTATTCCCCTGCTGGGTATTTTCCCAAAAGAATTAAAAGAATCATACCACAGTGATATATGTGCACCCATGTTCATAGCAGCACAATCTGTAATAGCTAAAACTTGGAAGCAGCCCAATGCCCGTCAACTGGAAACTGGATAAAGAAAATGTGGTTTTTAAATAAAATGGAGTACTACTCAGCCATAAAAAATGAGAAATTAGAGACATTTATAGCTAAATGGATGCACATGGAGGCGATTCTCTTCAGTGAAATAAATAGGACACACATGTGTAAATACCAAATAATTTCTCTAGTGTGAGAAACTGAAAGTGTAAACAAGGACTAAATGGTATAATCGATAATGTGAAATAGGAAGAAAAGGGGCAAAGGGGAAGGGGAAGTAGGAATGGTAGGGGAAAGGAAAGAAGGGAATGGAATTAATATGCAAAAATGAAAAAATGGAAACAAAGTCTTTGTAAATAGGGAGGGATGGAGGGGTTGAAGGGAGGGCAGGGAAATGGGGAAAAAATAAGAACCAAGACAGATTATGTAAAGGTGCAAATTTTCAGTGGTGAATGTCATTATATTTTACACCTAAAATGTACCAATAAAATTTTAAAAAACCATTATTGAATTATGTTCCCTTTTAATTCCCAAATGACACTGCATTGAACCTAAAAGCTTTCTGATTAAGTTGCTGCCAAACACATTTCATGCGTAATGTTCACCTTTGTGTTTGGGGATGCTAGACAACAGCACAGCCCCCGTATGTATCCCAACTCATTGATCTGATTAATTACTCTGATAAAGGCTTGGTTTCCATAATGAATTACACATAATGGAGAATACATTAATTTAAAAAGTATGTAGCTGCATTATGGCAGAGTTAAAATTTTCCAACCTCGAAAGTCAGAGAATACAAAGTCAGTTTCTGTGAATTCTATTACTCTTCCACACTTTTTATATCACTACAATATAATGAAAGTTACTTTATTGCATTAATGCAAAATTTAATGTCAGAATAATGAGGTTGTACTGAGGCTTTCAGCAGGAAGTCTAAACATCTTGAAGGCTCTTTGCCTTTCCATCCTTTGTGGCCATGTAGCCTGAAAGAGCCCAGTCCCTTCTCTCTGTCACTTGTAAGAAGAGGTGGCTGGAGAGGCAAATCAGAGAAGGGAAGTGACACTGGTAGCTCAGAGTCCCCCACTTATGAAGGGCCAGGTTTCTCTTCCTCCTCACTGTCACCTCTTACCTTCCAGTCTGGAGTTGAGTTTTAAGTTGGGCATGGTGGCCCACAGCTATGACCTAGCACTCAGAAGGCTGAGGCAGGAGGATTGCCATGAGTTTAAGTATAGTGAGTTGAAGGCCAGGGTGGAGTGCATAGTGAAACCCTGACCCATCTCAAGGTTTTCTCCATCAATTGTTATTTTATCATATTATTATATATACATAGTTAAATGTAAATGTAATTGTACAAACCCCATGTAAGTGTATGAAGCCCACTCTAAATTTCATTTAAAATTCAGTTAGGTATAGTATGGGGTTGTGGTGCTGTGAAGTTAACAAAATACTTGTCTAGGACAGAACAGGAAAACCATCACCAATCCATTCAGTTAAACCACCACCAAGGGGTTTTCTGGAAGTTAATAAGGTTGTAAGCAAGAGCAGAGATTCCACCTTTGTCCCTCACACCCCAGTCCCATGCCATAGCCATAATCTCCTTCAACAACTTGAGCTATTCCTGGTCCATTGATATTTATGTTTTTAGATATTGTTTTGGGATAAATCAACAGTTACAGTATTGCAATACCTGAATTTTATACACGAAATAGTTAAATAATGTATTATGATTTTGGTTCCTTTCTTGCATAAGTGTATAATGAAATTTTCTTGTTCAATTTTTCATATTTTTCCTCAATTCTTTCCACATGTATCATCAGAACTCTCATATATCAATTTTATTTTCCAAAAGCTCAAATACTTCAGAATATGATTTCTTTATAATATAAATTTAAGCTTACTTTTAGAGGTACAACTCATCAACATCAGGTTCGTTGTGCGCTGTTGTTATACCAAAAAAAAAAAAGGACAAGAGACTAGTCACTTTAAGAATTTTATTCTAGGGCCGGGGATTTAGCTCAGTGGTTCTGGCTCCTGTCTGGCAAGCAGAAGGTCCTGAGTTTGATCCCCGGTACCAAAAAAAAAAAAAAATTTTATTCCATGAAATAGTTGTGAAAAGTCTACTGCTTTGATATGTACTTTTACTGAGATAGGAGATTAGGGCGTGATGAAGCTGGCTGGGGAAGTGGGCGTGGCCTGTAAATTACAAGACCCCTGACAAACGCGCAAAGCCGTGTTCCCAAAGCCCCTTGGGCGCATAGACTTCCGGTGAGAACTTGAGCAGGTTTTCGGAGGCGGGTGGAGACCTGACCTCAGCGTGAGGGGTGGGATCCCGGCACGGCCCCTCAGGTCGCGGATGTAGAAGTTCTCCTGGGTTTCCTCGAGATTTGGACAGCATAATAGAAAAGGAGCCCTGAGGTGGGGTGACCCTGTGTGAGTATCCACCGTATCCTGTGCTGATTTTCTCAGTCTCTGCATGTACTTCCATTTTTGCGTTTCCCGTTTTTTTTCTGGCCCAAGCTTGCTCTGCAGAGCCAGCCTCACCCGCCCCTTCACTTTTGCTTTCTTGAATAAACTTTGCCACTGTTTTTTGCTCTTTTCGTTCAGTTCTTTGTTTGAGATAAGGAGAACCTGAAATCCAACTCGGGAAGGACAGGTGAGCAGCCCAGAACCTGCTAATGTTCAGTTGCTGAGCCACTTTTAGAAGCAGGCTACCCTGATAACATCACTGCTATGCTCTTTTTTATTTTTTTTACATTTTGAAGACAGAATAAAAATAGACTCTCAGATTTGGGCTTCATTCATTTTTAACAGATGTTTCTGACAATTAATAATTTTTGATCTACCAAAAATGGCAATCTCAAATGATTAAAATTAACAACAGTGAGGGGCTGGGGATTTAGCTCAGTGGTTTCGCTGACTGCTGTGCAGCCGCAAGGACCAGAGTTTGATCCCCAGTACAAAAAAAAAAAAGAATCAATAACAGTGCTAGGCACTTGGTCATAGTAGTCTTCTCCCATCCCTCACTTCACAGAAGAGAAGGGAAAACAGCTGGTTTGTAAAGCTCATCAATCAAGCTCTTACAAGAACAATAAAAAACAATATTTCTAAGAGCTAAACAAAAATATGATTATTAGCATATGCATTGGAAGTCTATTTCCTATGGATTTACTGTTCCAAAGGCACATTTTGTTTTTCTGTTACTTAAGTGTTTTGAATTTGAACATATTGCTGAAGCCCTGTGTGATAGATACTTAAAAATAGGGAAAAAAAAAAAACCTCCCTAAAGTGTAAACAAATAAAAACATTATAAAGTGAAAGAGTCTGAAAACACACCCATTTATTTTTATGGTGACATGGAGAAGTCTTTAGCCTCCTGGGTACATAGGTATTCATTACTTAATTAGCTTCCCGCTAGCAAGTCTTCAGGATAAAAAAAATGGTCTCTGTGTTAAATCTCTTTGCTGGAAAGTAAAGGGCTGGAATAAAAGCAAACGGAGTTTCACTCTGAAACCAGAACATGGAATCCAGTAGTAATGGTTTAGTCATGCTGCTTTTTCCAGGAATGATCAATGAAAGAGGGGAAGTCAAGCCCTACTTTGAATACTGGAGTTCAATGATGTATAAGAGCTGAGAAAGAAATCAGAACTGTACTGCTTGGAAGCCCAGATTGGTAAGAAAAGTCCACACAGAGGACTGTGAGGAGGAAAGAAAGAAAACTGTTCCATTAAAAAGGTGTTTAAGGGGCTTATTCTCCCCCAGCATGAATGCATATAAATTCCATTAGGGTTAATAGGAACGAAATGTGTGACTCGGGCAGAGTAGAATGACTTGTGTATGTGTGAGTAAATGAAGTCTAGGAAAAGTCAATTAAAAACCACTAAGGGCAGTTTAGGAGTCTAATAAATAGACTTACAGGTACCTGCAAAAGAGGCATTTAATTTTAATTAATGGCTTAATTGTTTTTCTTTTACTAAAGACAAAAATCATTAAAATGGCAAAGGGAAAATAACTTTAAACCCAAACTCAGCTCTCAAAATCATGGCTCAAAGTTGTTCTTGCACACCAGATGGTAAAATTGACCCCTTGCGCAAGGTTTATAATTTGCATTCAAATTGGAATATTAAGTTATATAAGGAATTCAAATCCACTGCCTATTTTTTGTAGCCTTTAAAGAGAGGGAGAGCAGGATGGGGGAGGAGGGACACAGAGAAAACGGGAAAAAGAGAGAGAGGCAGAGGCAGAGACTGATTCCAAACACTGGCTTTTGGTTATTTACAAAAGGGAGCCTAAGAGAACTAGGACCCCCGCCCCAGGGCCAAGGACTGAACCCAGGGCTTGTGCATGACAGGCAAATGCTCTGTCATTGACCTGCATACCAAGCCCTAGGTTGCTTCTTTAATGCATAATGATGCACAAACTACTGAGTGGAAGTCTCTTACCTGGGGCAGAAATCTGTTTCTAGAAGAATATTTTGAGGTTGGTTTGCTGCAATTTCAAGTAAACAATGAAGTTCTTTAGCAAAAAGAGATAGAAAAATAAGGATGTTTTTCTTTATGGAGACAAGTTGGGGGTTAACAGTAAAGGTTTTCTTTATAAATATTTATTACCTATTTCTTCTAAGCCATGAACTATTTGAAATAAGACATGTCATGGTACTACTTCCCCACATAACTGTATGTATGAAATAGGTGCTCAGTCTTTATGTGGAGAGGAACGGGGGCACAGGGAGGCAGATTTGACAAAAGATGTGGTGTCGGACCTCATGTGCTTTGAAGGTGGCTCATCTAGCCTCTGCCTTCAGAA